TTATGCGCACTGATTCACTCTTTTACACAACTGAAGCTCCTAACAGATAAATAAAGTTATTTGAAGTTGAAGTTTTGTGCATGTGTGAAAACAACAAATATGTGTTCTGTGTTCAAAACTGCCCTCCTTTCTTTTTTTTTGACAGACTTCTTGTTTTATAGCATCATCTAGTATGTTGTCTTATTATGAAAATAATATAAGTTCCAGATGTTATTCCATATTTCTGCCATTGTGTGTTCTTTATGTGCTGTCTAGTGTCCTTTAGTTGAATGTCTAAGCGGACACAACTTAAAGTAGCTAATATGCTCCCTAGAGGAACTGTGGAGTCAACTAACAATTCACTGTGGGTCCATGCCTACAAGCAGTCCTGTCACATGACATGTAATCATTTTGATTTATTGTTAAGAAAGACTGATTGACAGACATTGAAAAACATAATTCAGACTGCTTCTCCTGTTAAATAAAAAGCCTACTCTTGACCTTGCCTGAGGACTACAGTTGACCACTTGGTGGACAGTAGCAGCCATATCAGACAGCACACAGGGATGGGGGCTTTGCTGCCCTCTAGATGCACCCTATAGCCTGGAGCCTTGGGGAGCCCTGGTAAAGAGATTAGCCGTGTGTGTGTGTGTGTGTGTGTGTGTGTGTGTGTGTGTGTGTGTGTGTGTGTGTGTGTGTGTGTGTGTGTTTATGTCTCCCCTTTTTTTCCATCATTGCCTCACTCTAATCCTTAAAACCTCTAAATCCTCCCTCCTCTTCCTCCTTCTGTGCCCCAGGTCCTGATTTTTTTCTGTCCATCTGGTGTCAAGCAACACACCGCAGCCAATCTCCACCTCCCACTGCACCATATACCTCAGAAATGTTCTCAACCTAACACTTGTTTTCCATTATTTGGGTGCTAATTGACCAACAGGTAAAAAAAAAAAAAGTTTGCAATTGCCTCAGCAGATTTCTCCCGCTGTCAGCCACAAAAACAGCAATGGCAGCAACACAATCCTTCAGAGAAAAGCGCCAAATCAAATACAAAGCTTAAGGTCTTTTGTTTCAGAACTTACAGGCTCAGGTTGTTGAATAAAGTTTACATGAAATTGGAGAGATACAATGTTTTTTTCGTTGAGGATATAGCCTGTTTCAAACCAAGAAACAGACGTAATGATGCTCTCTGTAAAACCAAACTCCATTAACAAAAGCAGTACTTTTTTTACAATAGGACACAAGAGGTTTTAATCTAGTGCAGCAGCAACCAGTTAGCTTGTTTTGCAATGTTGTGTGACTTTGAGTTTTAAATAATTAGCTCAGATCAAACAGACGACACACAAACAAATTTGACAAGACGGCAGCAGACCAGAAAATTCAGTGTTCTGAGAGGTAAAGTTTATGTTTTTTTAATGGAATCTGGTGGTGAGGGACATAACAGCTTCATCTTTTTTTATTCAAGAAAATGAATCATCTAACAACATGAGCTGTCAGTGGCAAAAACCAACAGTTTTAGTGAATGCATTTTCATTAAAGATCGCAGCCATATAACCCATCAGCTAACAATCTAGCAATTCTGCAAACTTTTAGTACCCATTAGTCATTTAGTCTAAAATATGTAAAAATGGGGGCCATGTTTTAAAATAATAGGCTTCCCCTTTAAAGAATTTGATCAGTGTCAGAAAACAACACTGCAGCCAGATGTGAGTTCCCGTGAAGTCGGAGAGTAGTACTACCAACAAGCCTAACATCAACACAAGTGGGAGCCTCGATTAACCCCCCCGCCCCCCGCCCCCTTCCCCAAACCTTAAGGCTCTGTGTTGTGCCTCCATCCCCGTCCCAAATGTCTACAACCTCTCTGCTCAGCACATCAATATTTTACATATTATTTCTATATTTACAATTTTGGAAACCTCAGAAGCTCACAGAGAAGTTTTGAAGTGTAGAGAGAAAAAGACTTCCAGCAGTGCGAGGAGGAGGAGGAGGACTTTAAAGTCACCACAGCGTCAGGACGGCCAGTAGCTGCTGTGCTCAGCGTTTCGCTCACTCCCCACATCATGACAGCTCCACTCTCACATCCTCTGGATTAGGAAGTCAATGGAGGTTTAGCAAGTCAATGGATGGAGTCTGTAAAGTGTATAGTGTATTAGACATGGACAAAGTGGTCGTTAGGGGTGTGAATGAGTGAGGGGAAAGCCCAGGTGCTGACCCTCTCACAAGCCTGACCATGAGCAAATGATCAACCATGTAGCAGGTGTTTTGGTTCAGTCACACATCAGGACCTTTCTCCTGCTGGAGGTTAAACTCAGCAAATATGAGTACAACCTTATCTCTGCCAGCTGCTCGGGGAACGCTGCAACTTGATTGGACAGTGCTGACCAGGTAGACGGCCCTGTCACAAGGTACTTAAATGTCATATTTGGATTGGAGGATTCATTGTTGGGGGAAAGAATTGTTGGCTGATTTATTCATGTTAAATCAGCCACAAAGATGTTTTAGTTCCTTCATTTTTATAAGATGGGTACATACTTTTGGCAAAATTTGAAATAAATTATGAAAGAACTTGGATAGTATGAGTGCATTAAAACAACAAATTGGTGAATCACTATAAGTTTTGTTAATTAAGGTACGCACTTTCGGTATTTAAGCGGCTTGCCTGAAGTTTTTATGAAGATAGTCAGACTAAATTTCAGATTTGTTTTGATACATTTATTCAGCCAGTAGTTATGTTCAAGTTTACTGATTTCTGTCTGACACAGATGCTCCTGTACTTCTTAGTTACTGTAAGCATCACAAACATTCAACAAAAACACAAGGGTCAGTTTGTTATTTCTTTATGTCAACTTGTGTCAAACTGTACAAAAATGGTCATGTGTTTGACTTTTTTCTGTTGTTAATGTAGCTCAGTGGCTAATTAGAAACTTCAGTTGATCGACTGTTTCTCCATCTGTCAAACCAATAAGCCCAACCGGCCTTTTTATTTTTTAATTTATGGACATTTGCTGTGAAGAATGATTCACAGGTGTGGAACCACATCTAGTTTCGTTGACGATTATCAAGAAGAACTGGGGTTTTTTCAGAATCTGGTAATGGTGATGTAACCAATTTAAGCCTGAAGAGTGTTTTTTCTTAACACATGATGCTCTATGATTAACCAAAGGTTCAAATTAGATTCAAACACAATGATCAATGAAAAGTTAACATGATACATTTAAATGGTTTGCACTGGCATCTGGATCAGACCAAAAATGTCTTTGTTATATAGGTATCTAACCTTGGTTGGATTCAAGGCTAAAAACTCAACATAAGAGGTATTAATGACTAATGAGTACAAAAAGGATGTTCACAAAAAATGCTGCTTTTTGCCACTGATTGGCCAATTTGCTATACCTTCAAAGCTATCAGCCTCCATTGACAAAAACATTAGTTTTTCATTTTGACTTCCAGGACACAGGACAAGTTGTTCATAACAAACTGCAATACAGTCTTTATTATTTGTTTGTGCATGGTGTATAATAAGTTGATTATTACTCAGTTGCTCTCTGCCTATCCAGTCCGCATCTTGCATCAAAATCTTGCAAAATACACGGTAGCAAACACTCAAGACTGCCTACTGCTCACAAGCCATTCTCTCATATTCCTGCTGCTCCCCATCAATGATTAGCCAGATGATGAAGCCATTATTGACTGAACCTGAGCCCTGTGCCTCATGGAACATTAAATACATCACTTCCTCTCAAGGGGCCTCAACGCAGCTCTCACCCAGCATCCCCTTCAGGCTGCAAGCAGGAAATGAAAACAGCCATTAGAATAGAAGCTAGCCAGAGTGCTGCTGATGCTTTAGGATGCTGCACACCTGCTACACAGCGAGACAACATCCTCACATGCCGGTTGCAGGTGTGGACACACTGTCTGTAGACTGGCTGTCGCTTGGAATGAAAACCCCCTGAGACATCAAAGTGCTCGATAACCAAGGCTTTTGTTGGAGGCAGCTGTAGCACACACAGCCAGACCCTCAATAACAAACACAAATATCTTTCAGGCTTATTTGTATTGTTACACAGCCCGTGTTTTCTATTCTGCGACTGGTTGCCTATTTGAGAATACGGGGCATGAGGATAATTCAGGTGCATTTTCTCATCTGTATCGTGTCCGGTTTAGGCCTACTAAGAATTCTAACCACACCCCATCTTCCTTCTTCCGTCGGGGGGGAGCAAAAAAATGAGCGTACACACCAACCTCCACCACGATCCGACTGTCGGGGTTATAAAACGGTTTGTGTCGCTCCAGGCCTCTGAGCTATAATGTCAACTGATGTTGCCATTATTAACAAAGCGATCTTTCTTTTTGTTCTCACACACGCATACACAATCACTCCGCTTTTGCAAAAAAAAAAAAGAAAGCCACTCCAGCCAGCGTGCGTAAAATCAGAGCGCAGTTGGATGTGTAAACTGAGGGATGGGGTGCAGTCCCCATTGATGAAAAACGAGTGGGTGAGGGATGGAAAAATGCTATGATTCATCACCAGCAGCACCCCCTCCCATCCAATTTTCTCTCTCTCTCCCCTTACCAGCAGCACTGTCACACCCCATCCACAAGGTCCTGTCTACACCTGTAACACGTTTGACCCTGTTTCGGGTCATCTTCATTGACTGTGATTGTATACATGTTTTCATTTATAGATTGATTTCAGCAGAATCAAAGCTCATGAGACTATACCAGCCGGACTTGTGACGGTGTTGAGCTGTTTTGGAGACACATCTTTTTTTTTTGCTCTACGTAGCCTTACGTTGGTGAAAACCTTTAGGTGATCCCATCAAATTGTGTTGAAGGCGAGCCTAGAAGTGCCAGAGTGATGGTAGAACATAAAAGATGCGTCGGCTAATGGTTACCTGATGTGATGGGTGTGTGTGATGCTGGTAGCACTGGTTATAATGGGTGTAAAAGGGACGGTTTTCGAACCGGAATTACGTTGTTGTAAGCGTAACTTCCACGTAAAAAAAGAAGAAAATTGCTGCCCTTACTTAAGCATGGCTTGTTCTTTATCTTCTTCCTCCTTCTGCCGAGCCATCACACCCATGATGATCTTCCTCTCCTCCTCGGTGAGATGACTCAGGTCCGGCAGATCCGGCATGGATGGCGGCGCGGTGGGTGGGCGAGGGCCACCCTGGGGCCCCACCGAGGCGGACATATTTTCCACCACCACCCCACCTCCTCCTGCTCCTCCTCGGCGAGTCGTTTCGGCTGACAAGGTTCCCCGGAGCGTTTCCGAGCCACACCTCACGACCTGGTCCGCGTCGTGCAGAGCGGCAGCGGCAGCCGCAGCAGCTCCGGCGAATAGTGCAAGCCGCTCATGGTTGCAGGCACCCTCGATTGTGCTTTTGTTTGTTCTCTCTGGCTGTTTCTCCCACCGCTCTCTTGTCTCGTCGTTCCCCCCCACCCCCCGGCTGCCCGCCTCTCCCCTCCACCGCCCGGATTCACTGACAGCCCATTTCCGCTTTTTTTTGACGCCGGGAGTTGAGTCGAGCTGTAGGGGATCACTCTGCTGCTCTGTGGTGCCTCCGCCGCCGTCGGACTGGAGCTGGATGTTGGGGCGGTATAGGCGGAGTCCGTGATGCTTCTCTCTCTCTCTCTCTCTCTCTCTCTCTTTCTCTCGCTCGCTCTCTTCTCCCTCTCTCTCTCAGTCAATGGGAATGCAGACCTACTCCCTGCTCTCCTCTTTTAGCGGAGGCGCGCTTACTCATGTGAGAATGGGGTCCTCACTCCTCACCATCATCACAGGCAAGCACAGCTTTTTATACTGAAAATACACTCACTCACCCCTGTGATCAAATACACACTCTCTCTCTCTCTCTTTCTCTCTCTCACACACACACACACACACACACACACACACACACACACACACACACACACACACACACACACACACACACACACACACACACACACACACACACACACACACACACACACACAAACAAACACATTCAACAACACACTATCTCTCTCTCTCACTCACACACAGGCGAACCAAACAGCACACAAAGTTCTGGAGTGGACAAACCTTAATATCTCGCGATAGTTGGATTTTTGGGGGGGGTTTCCCAGTAAAATAAATCCCAAGCCAAAAGCCTGATTTAATAAAAGGGGACACTTTCTCATAGTTTGTCCTAGAACCATACATTCAGTCGATTTCAGCACCATGGACAGCAGCCTCTCTAAACAGCACTATACAGGTTTTATTTTCCTCATTGTTCCTGCGATTAGAAAATCTGTTCTCAAAAATGTTCTCCTTGTTTGATTTTAAGGCATCTATGCAAACAAACTTAGTAAACAATAGAAAACAAACCTCAGTTTCCCGCACTTTTTAAATTTTATTTTGTTAAGCATTTCCCAGGTGCTGTTTTACATCTGTAATTTAGATAAAATGCATTTTTGTCGCTTTTATTTAGCATGTATGTATTTAATGTTTTGTCTATAACTCAGTTTCACTTGGCTGCATGCTTGAAGACTTTTTTCTCAGGGACATTACATTACAGGATGAAATAGACACAATTGTGCCCAAAAAAAAGAAGCATTTGATTCATGCTGTGACTCATTTATTTCGACTTGGACCCAACACATCATGTTAACATTAACCCATTAACACTAATTATAACACAGTTTAGGCTCAATTAAACACCTCCCTGTAGGCTAAGGTGAGTCTATGAACCACATTTGAAAACTCTATAAATCCTATATAATATGTAAAATCCATTGTTTTTGCTATTCTTCTTGTCTATAGCTACTGCTTTTTCTCAACCTGACTACATTTCTTCATGTATTAGCCTATTACTTTTTAAATCCTGTGTACTTTTATAAATCATGATGTACCATTATGTATCCCTTTGTAGTTATTCTGCCTTTAGGCAATTGTTGAGTACATCTTTTGTCGTGCACTTTGTTATCTTTAACTCAAAGTATTTTGAACTGATGTTACTACTTTTGACATGATTAAGTAAGTTTAACCCAATAAATCCTTCATATCTTATAGAAGGGATTCTGACTCTTTAATCGTCTCAGTTACAACAGACCCCCCCCTCCCTCTCGCCTTCCCTCTCATCTCGTTTTGCATTCACATCAGACTCTCAGGCTATACCGACCCGCAGCTGGCACCGGTTTCTCCCGGATGACGTAATGCCGTGTGAGTGGCTGACTCTATCCAGTAGATGGCATTAACCCCAGCCTCCGTCAAGCAAGTGACGTCACCGAGGAGGTGACTGTACAGCGGTGACGTCAGCTTCCCGTGGTGCAGAATTTTGTCATCATTTAAGTCGTGACTAGGGACCACCAGCTCCTAGTGACAGAGTCGTTTTAAGGCAAAGCGGATCTCTGCAGACCTGAGACTATAAATAAACACTGAGCGCTGTCTGAAGGAGGATTTGGCTTCAAAGCCTCTGAATTTACATTTTGTATTTTTTAAATCAATATAAGGTAATGCTATTAAAGATACGTTTATGAATGTGAAATGTTAAGCCAATGGACACCAAGTTTCTATTGTTCCTAGAGTTGTGGAGGGGATTATTGCCCTTCCTATCCTTGAAATTGAGCCATGTTTGAACATTTTCCCACATTCATGTCTTCCCAGGTACAGAGTAAATTAAAATGACCTTTGACTCTAGTGAAACTAAATCATAACTATCTTATATGTGAATAATGCTCAACACACAAAGAATATGTATGCTGTATGGAAATCTACATAAATACCTTTGAGGCTGCATTTAAGTATTGCATTCCTCTAAGACAGGCAAAACACATTTTTACCAGCCTGTGCATATTTCACCTTTTCCACGATGAATGTTGTCTCGTTCTTTGAGGAGAGAGAAAATAGAAAGACTTGCCCTGGAAAGCATAACAATAATGTAGGACAGAAATAATGACAGAAATGACAAACAAAAGTAGTACTTCAGGTAGGTGAGCCCTCTACTGGATAAAAGCGGCATTGAACCTCTTTTCAAAATAAACATTTATATGAATTAATGATTGAGAAAGTATTTCTGATTAAAAAATGTCGATTATGGAGAATTGTGAAAGTTGTTTTGGGCGGAAAGGGATCATAATCCACAATATAGTGAGAGCTTAATGTGATTTACAAAATATTGTTATTTTCAAGAAATCACAAGATAAATAAAATACCAGAATTAAAATTGAAAGTAGAGGTTAAAAAGCTGTTATGGAGCTAACGATGAATCTTTAAATTCAGAATAATTGTTGACATGTTTGTCTTGAATATTGTAGGTAATGCTCAGATATAAGCAAAAGTTTAATTAAGTCACAGTCAGTGAATTTTTGGATTAGTTTGTAATCACTAAAGACATAAAACATTTTCTATACCTTGCTCACTTCTTGATCATTAAGTAAAGTGACTTTGCTTTGATACAAGAACTTGTGACTCGCCTTAAACAGAAAAGCTGAATAAATGTGAATGTACCGACATCTAGTGGTAGAAAGATTGCGACTGCAGGCTAGACACCTTTGTAACATCTCACAGACCCACATCATGTTTGTAAGTTAAACTAGGGCTGTGAAACTCTTGTAGTGAGATGTTATAATTAATGGATTATAGTAAAAGTCATAAACTGTGCTGTGGTAGCAGAAGTGCATTAGAGTCATATAGTCTAAAAACGTGTTAGGTTAGGGAGAAAATTAGGCTTACTTTTACTAACGTTAACTAACCTGTGGTCATACCAGACCATGTAAGGGAGTGCATGTATATGAGTAAGAAAGATGGGAAGAGTGTGAAACTTCGTTTTTTTTCTTAAAGTCTGCTCGCTCACAGATGTTATAAATATAAATCACTGTGGGCCACAAACAGTTATTCTAAAAGTACAAAATGGTATTCATGCAAGCCTGGATTTTTTTAAATGCTGCATGGAAAAGGCATGTTTAACTACTTTGATGTACAATTATAGTTTTTAGAGTAAGTCCTGCAACTGAAAAATAAAATGTGAAATGATTATATTTTCATCACTCTGGAAGAAGAACAAAACAAAAGTCTTGCCTTTTCCTGAGCCAACTCTCTGAACAGTCCCCCCCCGGGGGTGGATGCAACAACCCCTGAGTAACTTTGATAAAGCAGTGGTGTGTTTATTAAAACACACCACTCAAACTTTTCATTTATTAGAGAAAACATTTATTCCATCTCTTTGGTCCCTAAAGTGAATGAAGAGAAAAACACAGCTTGTCCAATTCATGTCCTATGTTAATATTCTTTTGAGAACAATGAGCCATTGCAGCACACCAAATATATTATTTTAAATAGTGGATCACATAAAAGCATCTTCATGATGTCAAAAGCAATACCGCAGAGAATGAAAATAATCAGATAAAGCAAATCCCTCTGAGTGTTTAAATAACACCACAGCAGCTTTTTTTTATAATCTTCTAAACAAAGACAAAGCAAATGAATCAAATGGAAGACAGATGTTTATTCTCTTCAGAAAATAAAAATAAAGATGCAATAATCCCTAACACAGCAGGACACATGATTTTTTTTAAAGATAAGTGTGATTTAATTTAGAGAAAGAGGTCACAGCAGTCACACTGCTTTCAAAATAATACCCAAAACACCTTTAACATGAGAAGCAAGCATTATTATGAAGTGATTCAGAATGAATCTCCATTACCTTTATACTATGTGACCTAACTCTTGACTCCAAGTGCCATCTAGTGTGTGAAAGTGGTATTTCAGGATGCAGTTTGGGCTGGATATTCAGTTTGGAGTGAAATCCAAACAAATATCATTTAGGCACAGACAATAATCTGCCTACAAATTTAAAAGCGTTCATTTAATCTTGTTTTATGAAAAAAGAAAACATCAAACTATCAGCACCTTTAAGATGTTGGGAGACATAAACATATCTGAATTTTGTTTTGTTTTGTTTTGTAATTTGGCTTGGATCTGTTGGTATACTGTCCGTCTACTTTGAGAGGATCTCTGTGTCCACGTCTTCTGTACGGCTCACCACTTTTCCATCAACAATCTCCTCGATCACCACCCTTCTCCTCTGGGAAATGACTGGTTTGGCTGCAAAAAAATAGAAGATAATATTTAACATCCTAAAGTTATACAAGCTAAGAGCTAAAAGGTAAAGTGCTCATTAGGTAAGGGTATGAGCACTTGAGTACTTGTTGACGTCATTATTGGCAAAAGTTTCACTAATGAAGCACCTGCACGCACATTGTGTGAGGCTACATAGCTCAACTAAGTTAGCGTTACATGCACAACGTGAGCCATGAACAGGGAAAGTGATGTCTGGAAGTATTTTGACCAAAAGACGATAATGTGTAGTGCAAGATAATTGGGCTTACACTCGTAGAATTACTAGTAAGATACTGAGCCCTGTTAGCACACGTCTATGTGATGATACCAATGTGTGGAGAAGAAGAACTGATGAGCGGCACACTGCTAAAAAATATAGCTGGCCACTTCAAAGCAGCTGCTCAGGAGTTGAATCGTGTCTGACTCAAAAATATATTTATAATTTGTAAGTTTAAAAAAAATATATTATTATTTTTGGGCTTTTTGTGCCTTTAATGGAGAGATAGGACGGTGGATAGAGTCAGAAATCAGGGAGAGAGAGTGAGTGGGGAATGACGTGCAGGAAAGGAGCCACAGGTGGGATTTGAACCTGGGCTGCCCGTCTGGAGGAGCAAAGCCTCCACACATGGGGCGCACGCACCAACCACTGCGCCACCAGCGCCCCTATAATTGGCAAGTTATCAATTACTCGTTTCTATGGTAATGAGAGTACTTGAATATTGACATCAATGAACATGCCAATGCCTAGTGTGTAAGTAAACTTACGTTTGACAACTTCTACTTCTTTGAAGGTTGTAGTCGTTGTAACAGTAGACCTGTGGGGAGACAAAAGTTGAGTTTGTTGCATTCAAATATCAAAAGAAATGTGAGCATTTAGGAAATATTGTTATCCACCCTCATGCAAAGAACTGGGGAATAAAATAAAAATAAATAAATACCTTCTAGCACCTCAAAGTCTACAATTTACACATATCTTGATTTTTTTTAGTGATCATTAAATGTGCTGATTTTATTACTTTTGCAGAGAGCCAAACTACCTATTTCCCAGTGTTTCCTAACTTAATGCTAAGCTAAGCTAATGTTCTTTTGTTTGGCATCATATCGGTAAGGAGATGGTATTGAGGTTTTTTAGTTTTGCTCTAAGTAATAAAGCTATTAAGAGTAAATCCTAAAACAGACATTTACCTGATAAATGTACTAATGTAAAGCGGTACATTTTGTAACAGAAATCTCCCTTACTTGACATCTCCTCCATCCAGCAACCTCCTGTACTCAGCGATCTCCAGCTCCAGCCTCGTCTTGATATCGAGTAGCATTTGGTATTCAGCGGATTGCTTCTCGATGTCTGCCCTCATATTACTCAGCTCATTCTCCAGTCTGTCGACCATGAGCTGGAGCTGGCTCATCTGAAGGCTGTAGCGGGACTCTGTCTCTTCAAGCTGGCCCTCCAAAGCAGATTTCTTCACAGGGAGAAAAAAAAAATGGAGGAGATGCGAGGGTTAATTGAGCACTTATTACTTTTTTTATTTTTCTTCTCCCGACTAAAGTTGCCTCAGGTTAAAAAAAAGTGTGCAAGCATAAACAAATGATGACTGACAAGTGTAATGTCTAAGAGGCTATTTATAGTGTGGATAGTCAAACATGTAGTCAGACATGTTACTATAGTATGCGTGGTGTACAACTCAGAAATGACACACTTGATTTTGAGAAGTGCAACAGGTTTTGAAACTGGTACGTGCAGAAAATAAATCATTATGGACATATGCGTTTGAATTACCAGGCTCAACTGGGACTGTAGTTCAATCTGCAGGGCCTGCAGGGTCCTCTTCAGGTCGTTGATCTCACTTTTGGAGGACTGGAGGGTCTCTGTGCTGGTCACCAACTGCTTGTTCAGTTCATCAAACTGCAAGATAGGAAAAAAAGGTTGACATCATGTATTCATCCAGTTTTTGATAGTCAGTTTTATGGAAGATGAGCACAGCTTTATAGGGTTAAACATTTCCTATGTTCACCTCACCTTGGCCTTGTACCATGCCTCCATCTCACGGCGGTTCTTTTCAGCAATACCCTCATACTGAGCTCTGAGAGCATCCAGGGTCTTGGACATGTCATCCTGAGGTGCGGCGTCCACCTCCACGTTCACAGAGCTGGTATTCAAATGGTTGCGCATGGCTGCAAGTTCCTACAGATTGGGAAAAAAAAGAGTCATCGTTAGGTAATGTCAAAGATAAAAGCAAAGTATAGAGAGAAAAAAAGAAAAAATGACACAGAGAGGATCAGACAACATTTGAAGAGGAATATTTGAAAAATCACAATTTCTGTTAAATTGTTGGGCTTTATGACCCAAGAGCTTTTAATTGTTTAGTTTATGCTATCTTATATTAGCACATTTTAAATTGATAGACATTGTCAAACACTTCATTGTCTTAAGTAGTCTTTTGACTAGTTCTGCTGTTATACTGTGTCTTACAACATACTATCAGTTGATCTAATATTATATTATTATCAGTTGAGCTATCATTTTTGGAAGCATCCTGGGGCTGTCAGCAGCACCAACTTTGAGATACACAACTCATAGTCATATTTCCCTCTGTTCATGAAAAACAATGTCCAAAAAACATGATTTATTGTTTTCCAGAGCAGAAAATGAAACCATGGATTTATCGATAAGACCTGTTTAATCTTTTTGCTATCTTTGACAATAGTACTTTTAAAATGAATTTGGATAGGAAACAAGCTTGCTGAGATAGTACGATTCCTTACACTTGCCAAACCTATTCTTCTACACTCACCTCTTTATGATTCTTCTTCAGGAAGACCAGCTCCTCCTTGAGACCCTCAACCTGCATCTCCAGGTCAGACCGGGACATAGTCAGGTCATCCAGGACCTTGCGCAGTCCCATGATGTCTCCCTCCACTGAAGTGCGCACTGCCAGCTCATTTTCATACCTGTTGAAAGAAATGCACATTTAAACTGCTGTATCTGCTCAATTACTGTTACTAACAACAAAAGGAAAAAAAGAGGTGAAGCCAAAACCAGTTTCACCACTTTAATCATTGTGTTGACCGTTACACCCCGGTGACGATATGTCAACTTAGTCTGGAAGCAAATATGTAATGACTTTAATGAAAACAATGTCAATTGTTGGTGGCGGAAAACGTCTGATGTAGCCTTTTCACTCACTTGATTCTGAAGTCCTCTGCTGCCAGCCTGGCATTGTCGATCTGCAGCATCAGCCTGGCATTGTCCTGGGTGGCAAGACTGATCTAAAATAGAAAAGGGGGCACTGTCAGTAGTTCCTTCTTCCATTTATAGCACAAGCACAAAGGTGTGTTTGAGAAACTAGACTGGTACTTTGCCTTTGATGATCAGTAGAATAGTGTTCTTTATGCCTGACTTTGAATATTGATGGCATCATACTGTAACCAAATTAACTTGTTGAGTGTTATCCTTTTTACATTTTCCAACAAGGCGTGTAGCTAGAAGTAAGACAAATAACAAAACAAAACAAAAGCTTTACTGGTAGAGTCCTCTCTCATAAAGGTAAATATCTGTCTGATGTTTTATGATGAATGAGAACACAGTGTCATGGGATCAATGATCCACACCCTGAGGGCACATGACAGTAAAACTACTGATTCGACTTTATAGACTGAGTTAGCAGACTCTATTTGAATGAGGACTCTGTGTTGAAGGGAAATAAGTACAAGATAAACAGTTCACTATGGGATGTACTCAGTGACATGTACAGTCCTCTTTTTTCTAACCTCCTTGGTCTTACATGAGGCCATATGAGGTGAAGTTTTGAATTCATACACCTGATGGAATGATTCATCTTTAGTTATTGGATCGTTTAAGCTTTTTTTTTTATTATACAAATAATAATTGTTGCTATTTGAGAATGTTTCAAATAAAAAATTATAAATACAGCAGTTCTAGAGATTAAATTATCAAAAACTGTCTTTAGGTAAAATGAAGAGTTTGGATATCGGGACAAAAGCAATAAATACTTATTTTTTATTTTAGTAGCCTACTAAACACATTTTTACAGTTGTAAAATAAAGGTTAGACTTAGGTTAGATATTGTTAAAATTGTGTAAAGGGGAAGACTTACCTTTTTGCGCAGGTCTTCGATGATCACCTGGTACCTGCTGTAGTCCCTGACGGTGGGGGTCTGTTTGTCGTACCACTCGCGGATTTGACGCTCCAGCTGCGCATTAGCGGTCTCCAGGGAGCGCACCTTTTCCAGATAGGAGGCCAGCCGATCATTGAGGTTCTGCATGGTCTGTTTCTCACTGCCAGACATGTTGAAATTGTTGTTGCTGCTGCCACCTCCGAGGGCTCCTGACAGGTCAAAACCAGAGCCGAAGCTGTTGGAGGCGTAAGACACCTTGACGTTCCCACCTGAACCGCCATAGACGCTTGCACACCGCCTGGGGCCCGTGGTTGGGGGCAGAGAGTAGAGGGAAAATGCAGATTGGCGGTAGGACATGGTCATGGTGACTTTCCTTCTAACTCAGGTACAGCTCGCAGTGAAAACCCTGTCAAACACAGCGTGTGGTGTGGAGGAGATGGAGCTGAAGCGGACCGTCGGGGTTTTATAGCCACCTCCCAGGGCGGGGGAAGGGGGGGGGAGCGGCCGAACAGGTGGGTGGAAAGATGCTGTTCGGCAGCATCACAGGTGTGTGACCACAGGGCGTGGGAGGCTGGCTTTCAGGTTTACTGCCCGCAATATTTAGCCTTAACGGCTGTCAGGTCGCATTTCTGCTTTATTGTTCTGTGAAGTTGTCACTTTTAATTAAGAATCCATGAAGAAAATAAATAAGAAGGCAGTATGTTGCAGTGGCGGTTCCAGACCACTTTCACTGAGGGGGGCCAAACTGGGGCCATTTGTTTTGTCAGAGGGGAACATTAAACCCAGGTGAAAAATAGACAAAGATGATCGCTTTAAAATAAATATATATATCATGCCAAATAATAGCACACAACATAAAATATAATAGATTGATATTTGTTTCAGTAAGAGTATTTAATACTAGATTGTGAGTCCGGTTGTTGAGTCAAATACTGTGTATGTGTTATTAGAGGGCGCTTCCTTTTGGAGGGGTGGCCACAGGGGGGACCAAGCTCAGTGTTACAGGGGCACTGGCACCTGTTGGCCCCTACCTAGAACCGCCCATGGTATGTTGACTCTACAAACTTGCATCAAAATACATGATAATGATGTAATTTATTGATTGATAGCCTACTTTTACCCTTGAGTCAACACCAAATGAAAAATGTCTTAAATTAATCAGAATAAGGCCAGTGGTTAATTTTTAATTGACCGAAACCACTGACTAAATATTAGCCTAAATCGAACAGCTTAAATTTTATAGCCTGTAACTTACAATGGGCATGTTAACATGGAACTTGCATTTAACAGGTAGCCTATAATATTGACCAAATAAATGTTATATATTATCAAGCTAACATAGCAAATAAGCATCATGTGTCCAAATAAAAATCCATACAAAAAAGAAACCCCATAACCCTGCAACCCGCCACTACCACCAGGACTCGTCTCAATGATGGCTGTAGCATATGCTACAAGGGTTAACCAGTGTTAGGCCTGTAGACTGTCTATATAAACTCAGCATAAAAAAATAAAATGAAACCAAGTCCGTGCTCCATTTTGTTAACTCAATCAGGAAATTGTCCAAATGTTATTTCTAATAACCATAAGCCTTCCTGACAACAACAAAATGGATAAGCTATGTTTATTTTAGCCTGTTGCAAACCTCAGCATGCTAACATGTTTATAGTAGGCCTACTGGTGTCAGGTGGTTAGTCAACCTTGTTCGCCTTGTAAGTGAAGGGTGTTATTAAGCTAACATTTGATCATTTTAAGCGCTGGATTGAATTATTAGGCTACACAAACACAATTTGTGTTAAATAAAAGCAACATCAGCATGCCATGTATTCTTACAATGACCATGCTCACATGCTAGTTTTAGCAAGTAAAGTAAACCATGCTCCCCCTATACATTTAGTGTGTTAGCAGGTTAATTGTTGAATTTCACATGTAATATCAAACGGTTTTCTTTGTAGTGCAGTATTTTGTATATTTGCTTTAAAGAAACAGTTTTTGACCTTGATGAAATATTCTAATATTTTAAGCTTCGATTGCATTTTCTAACCAAACACGAAACTAGGAATTCACTACAAACTCAAAAACAACAAATGACTGAGGTCTGCAGTTCTCTTTTAGATAAAGACCACGATATGCTTTGTTTTTGTTTGATGATATCATTCAGGTCTATGCTGACCAGTCTGTCAGCATCTTTTAACTCAAGTGACATAGCTCAAGTGAAGTATTTTGTATTTTGATGACCAAAGCCTGGATGTTACTGAGACCTAGGATGAAAGGTCGAACTATTAACTCTCTTTCTGATATCATCTTAGAAATGCCAGTCAACTGTGCAGCTTTTCATAGCAGCTGCCAAGCGGCCTTGTTTAATATACTGACAATCACTCAGACTGAATGAAATCCAATTCCCATGAAACTTCTCCTTTCTCATAATAACCTCCTGCAATCAGGTCTTCAAAGACAGTGTTTCCTTTGGCATGATAGCGGTATTGACACATTAATCCTTGAGTAATTTTCCCAAGAATTGATAAGTACTGACATGTTAATACCTCGTAAGGAAAATCAAAGTGTCATTAGGTAAGCTTCTTGTATATATCAAATGATCATAATTGGCAAATGGCAAACAACTCAGAGGCTTAAACTGTTTAGCATAAAGAAAAGATTAAATATAATCTCATAACTGCAAGATAGAATTATAGTTTGAATAGCTCATTAGTTTGACGCTGTTGTTGTGAATATTTTAGGAAGTGCAAAGGATTAAATGACTAAGGGAATACAAGAATTATGACACAACTCTCTTAAACCAAAGTTGTTTTGCATGTTCATGGACATTAAACCGGGAGTCAAAGTAAATGTTAATCCAGAGTTACATTGGCACATAAACAAGGGTAAATGCAGTTTATGCCACCGTTCACTGGAGGACTTTTAGAGGACCAAATCAGACACCATCTCACAAATAATAGTAATAACTTTATTAATGTAGCATTAAAAAAAAGTGTTTGACAATTAATAAAAAAAAGAAAATTGTTTAAAAAAAAAAATGCATGCATCGACTAATAATAAAACACATAATCAGGCAAATAAACAGGTATTTCAAATAAACACAAGACACCTGTTACCAATTTGAGGACTAGATCCCAAAAAAGAAGAAACCCCTCATCCCAACAACAAAGAGACATAAGGGGAAACAGAAAGGAGATTCTGCAGAGAAAGAGGACAAGGACGGCAAGGCCAGTGCACAAGCCTAGTTAAGATAGAGCTCACATCCACGGGGTTAGTCTGTACACAACACACTCTTTATTCTCTACGGTAAATAATAACAACATCAATTTAACATAAAAGCCTGGTAAAAAAAAATACACAACAATGCCAGTGGTTAAGAAAAGCCAACGGATAAAAGTGAATTTTAAGAATCGTTTGAAAAGAGGACGCTGAGTTTGCCTGCAGGGAGTGTCACAGCTATGGGGCTCGAGCTGCAAAGGCTCAGCCCCCTTTTGTGAACAGTCGAGTTTAGAACTGCTAGTTGGGCCCAGGAGGATCTCAGGCAGCGTTAAGGCTCATATGGACTGGAGTTAGTATATCACAGATATTATGGGAAGCCAGCGAAGTCATGCAAGGACAGATGGAATGTGGTCACTTCTCTTGCTATTTGCATTGAAAGCCCAGAAACAGCGTTTTGAACTACACTGCAGTCTTTGGATGTTACACTTGCTGATGCTGGAACAAAGAGCATTTCAATCAGGAGAGACTTAATTGAGAATGAACAATTATCTATTTAACAATAAATTTGCAACAATTTAGATTTGAATGTGCAAAGTCTTTGGGGGATTAGACTCCATCGTGACGACTTCATGTATTCGGAAGGGTAATGAGGCCGACAGCAGGATAGGATACCCCCCTATGGAGTCTAGACACTGGTGGTGGTGAAGAGGTTGTAGGCTATGATGAGCCTAGATCTAGACTCTGCTGAGCTGGAATGGAGGTGACTGGGGCGGTGGTGGGTTGCAGCGGTTGCCCTGAAATGACAGAATGACTGTGGAAGACAGAGAACTGTTTTAGCATTTTGCCGCAGCAGGATGATTGGTTGAGAGAGGTTGTGCCCGAATCTGGTTGGTTAATTACTTAAAGAATAAACGGCCATTATGAGCTGATCACCAGAGCAGGTAGACAGAGGAAGTAGTTTCGGTTGAAGTGAAAGGATGAATGAATTTGTGAAAGAATATAACCAGTCTTCCTGTCTGAACTTACGCTGAGCTCCATTACAATAGCCAAGGCTGGAAGAAATGTATGAGTTTATCGAAGTCACCAGGGGCCCGTTGCACCTACAGGGTTAACGCCTGGTCTTAAGCTAAGTCAGTCTTAACTTGCCGTTCTAAGTCCAACCTGACACGACCGCTGCACCAGCACGGCTTAAGCCTTCTCTTCACTAAGACCGGTCGTAAATCTTACGCCTAGGCAGGAGTCCTGGCCCTCACTATCGCAACAACATTAGACACAAGTAAGAGAAAAGTGTTAATGTTGGCATACCTAATTTACAGGCTTTACAATGAGCGGTTATTTAGTTGGGAGAGAATTGTAAGGGATCAATCCACTGGACATATAGTTGATGAGGAACTGATTGAGAGGTTTCGATTCTATAGGAGGGCCTGAAGAGCTGTCACCGTACTAACAGTTTGTGTCGGACTGAAATGCAACACCATCACCAATGCTGCAGATGCTGATAGTACTTCATTTTTTTTGCAAACAGTGCTTTTTAAAACAGTGCTGGAGACATGATTGGCATCCACAAGTCCACCACCTGTCAGGCCCATCACTGGCACTAAGCTGCCGTCGGCCTTTTTATTAAACATTATTTCCACCAGACCTCTGGCCTCCTTGGCATCGTGGGCTGCATCGATGGAACTCCATCTGAACATGTATCTTTTTTTAAACCACAATGTACCCCCCTATAAATGTTCAGATTGCTCGCAACAACAAATATAATATCATCCTGATGCAAGTGTCCTTGGGGAAAGGAAAGGAATTATCAGATTTTGGTTAGTTGTCTCAGTTGAGCAAAGCAGGAATGCATAGGTTTACCTGGGTATCAAAAGATAGCTCCAAGTCAAATTTGGCCCCTATGTTGAAGGCACTAGCAAACATTGTTTGATAGGACAAGCTAGTACTAGGGGGCGGAGGTACTAATTAGCACTTCAGATTTGGAGTCATTGAACTGTAAAACTTTTTTTGATATACAACTTTAATTTCTAGTGGGCAGATTTTAACAGGGCATAGAGTTGAGTGTCATCTGCGTAACAATGAAAGTCTGCACCGTGCATTTGCAGTATTGGTGCCAGGGGAAGCATGGAATCGTGTGTGCGTGACTTCCAACCTCCAGACTCCATGTTTACATTACACCTGGTTTAGTGTTTCCTGTTTGATGCTTGGAAAAGGTAACTATCCATGAACTTCATGATTCACTG